GATTCCCTAGTTCCTAGTGGGTTAATGTATTGGATTCCCTAGTTCCTAGTGGATTAATGTATTGGATTCCCTAGTTCCTAGTGGATTAATGTACTTGATTCCCTAGCTCCTAGTGGGTTAATGCATTGGATTCCCTAGTTCCTAGTGGGTTAATGTACTTGATTCCTTAGTTCCTAGTGGGTTAATGTATTGGATTCCCTAGATCCTAGTGGGTTAATGTACTTGATTCCCTAGTTCCTAGTGGATTAATGTACTTGATTCCCTAGTTCCTAGTGGGTTAATGCATTGGATTCCCTAGTTCCTAGTGGGTTAATGTACTTGATTCCCTGGTTCCTAGTGGGTTAATGTATTGGATTCCCTAGTTCCTAGTGGGTTAATGTATTGGATTCCCTAGTTCCTAGTGGGTTAATGTATTTGATTCCCTAGTTCCTAGTGGGTTAATGTATTGGATTCCCTAGTTCCTAGTGGGTTAATGTATTGGATTCCCTAGTTCCTAGTGGGTTAATGTATTGGATTCCCTAGTTCCTAGTGGGTTAATGTATTGGATTCCCTAGTTCCTAGTGGGTTAATGTATTGGATTCCCTAGTTCCTAGTGGGTTAATGTATTGGATTCCCTAGTTCCTAGTGGGTTAATGTATTGGATTCCCTAGTTCCTAGTGGGTTAATGTACTTGATTCCCTAGTTCCTAGTGGGTTAATGTACTGGATTCCCTAGTTCCTAGTGGGTTAATGCATTTGATTCCCTAGTTCCTAGTGGGTTAATGTATTGGATTCCCTAGTTCCTAGTGGGTTAATGCATTGGATTCCCTAGTTCCTAGTGGGTTAATGTATTGGATTCCCTAGTTCCTAGCGGGTTAATGTATTGGATTTCCTAGTTCCTAGCTATATATATAGCGGGTTAATGTACTTGATTCCCTAGTTCCTAGTGGGATAATGTATTGCATTCCCTAGTTCCTAGTGGGTTCATGCATTGGATTCCCTAGTTCCTAGTGGGTTAATGTATTGGATTCCCTAGTTCCTAGCGGGTTAATGTATTGGATTCCCTAGTTCCTAGCGGGTTGATGCATTGGATTCCCTAGTTCCTAGTGGGTTAATGTATTAGATTCCCTAGTTCCTAGTGGGTTAATGTATTGGATTTCCTAGTTCCTAGCTATATATATAGCGGGTTAATGTACTTGATTCCCTAGTTCCTAGTGGGTTAATGCATTGGATTCCCTAGTTCCTAGTGGGTTAATGTATTGGATTTCCTAGTTCCTAGCTATATATATAGTGGGTAAAAGTATTTGATTCCCTAGTTCCTAGTGGGTTTATGTATTGGATTCCCTAGTTCCTAGTGGGTTAATGTATTGGATTCCCTAGTTCCTAGCTATATATATAGCGGGTTAAAGTATTTGATTCCCTAGTTCCTAGTGGGTTAATGTATTGGATTCCCTAGTTTCTAGTGGGTTAATGTATTGGATTCCCTAGTTCCTAGTGGGTTAATGTATTGGATTCCCTAGTTCCTAGTGGATTAATGTACTTGATTCCCTAGTTCCTAGTGGG